ATATATAAAGAAATCTAAATACATTGTTATTATGGGTAAAATAATTACAAGTATGTTGCTATTATGAGTAAAAAAAGTACATTGCCTACATTATGAGCAAGAGTAAAATACGTTGCTATTCCCTGCAATTTGCACATTCATTTTGGCTAATTTGCTAACACGTCAAACTGCTACCAAGATAAAACCTAATTTTTGTTGAGCGATTTACAAAAAAAACTAATTCATTCACATACATGTAATATTGTAATAATATAAGCATCCAAAAAAGGTGCAGTTTTGGTTTGGTGTAAATTAAACAATCTGCAAAATGAAGTAAAAAAACATGCCAATTACTGTGAAATGGAAGAGAAGAATTGCTCCAATCGGCTCTCACCTACTAATAACCCAAATTTCTTGGTAAAAACCGCATTAATCTTGTCTTCCCCTAAATCTTTCAACACATCTTTTGTTGACATTTCAATGTACTCGTTTAGGTTGTGCACATTTCCATCTACAACAACAAACAACCAAAAAGAAAATAGTTGAAATTTGAATTTAGTACACAATAATGAGTTTGATATTAGTAAGAAAGAATTTATATTTTATACCTTCAGCTACTATCACTTCATATTCAGGTGGATTAGCCATCCAGTTTCCTTGAGAATCCTTCATGTGTCTTCTATCAGAGGCAAAATAACGGAAAAATATAGGAGCATGGACTATACGGAAAACCCTGTGATCATGGATTAATTTATCATTTTTACCAAAATTTATAAGGAATATATCAGCAATTTAATAGCTAAGTTTTTTACCTCTGAAATTCAGAAAATAGCTCGAAAGATGGCCTTATACTCTCTGATATATATGACGATAGAGTTGATGGAAATGGAAGAGATGAATCTAAATCCCATACTAAATCCATGGACTTTCCTTCTTTTCTTCTCTGTTAAGCATCACCAGTTTCAAATTCAGTAATATATGGTTACAGATTTCTATTTAATTTCAATTGAATAAATGCATTGTGCAATGAAAGTTCAAAGGCATTACCTGAATGCAGATTACATGGTAATCCCATAGAATTACCCCATCAGCTCTATGGCTAGCTTTCTGATGCCACAATGGAACCTGCATTATGATAATTAATCAAAATTGATCTATATTTGAGTATGTACAAAAGCGTTTTGTAAAATTTATCATAAACAAAGGAGAAAACATACATGTTTATTCTCATTGGAAATGAAGACAACAAAGAGATCTGATACATCAGCTACTTTATCTGCACATAGTTTCTTGCAGAGCAAATACACATTTTCTTCGCTACAACCAAATTCAAACACAAAATCTAAGCTCAAAACCCCACTTTTTAAATAATGAAACATCAAAACAAGCTAATGATCAACTCATATATTCATATGAATCCTCTAACAGAGTCTTTGATGCTATAAGTAGCAACAGATTCCATGTTAATTTCCATTTTGAACTTATAGTATTAGTTCTAAATCGTGGAAATTCAATCTTAATCAAAACTTCCATGCCTCAAATCTTGCAATTACTGAGACGCGGAATCATGATTAACAAAAAGAGATTACCAGATCAAAACTTTGTTCTTGACACGATGATGTCAATTGTGTCTTGAGTTCAGCTACTAAACTTCAAATTCGCAAAAGTCAATCATGCTGATTAGGGCATATGCAAATGATCATTTAAGCTTAAAAATAATTATAATACTCGCAATAAAAATCGCGGATTTAATGAATTACAAGGCGGTAGAAACGAAAATTTCGTCCAAGAACATGATAGTTCATAAAATTCACTGAGCATGTTGATCGATTTTAGGGAGGCATTACCAGTAACATGGGGTGTGATGAAATTGGGGAACGTCGGAGGAAGTGGAAGAATCTGAACCCAAACTCGAAGCCATCATCTTATTTTGATCTTCAGTAACATCCACAGGTGTTTATTACTTTTCAAATTCCATCGCTCATCTTTAGGCTTGAATCTTTGGTTATTAGTTGTTACTTATTAAATCTAGGGTTCAAGGCTTAAGAAGATGTTCATTAGATGGGCTGTTCACTTAACTTAATTTGTTTTGGCTATGTTATTTTTTCGTGTTTTTCATTATTATTATTATTATTATTATTATTATATATATATATATATATATATATATATATATATATATATAT